TAGTGGTTGGGGCTATAGGAGAGATGCAGGGGCTGTAGTGGTGGGGGCTATAGTGGTGGGGGCTATAGGAGAGATGCAGGGACTGTAGTGGTTGGGGCTATAGGAGAGATGCAGGGGCTGTAGTGGTGGGGGCTATAGGAGAGATGCAGGGTCTGTAGTGGTGGGGGCTATAGGAGAGATGCAGGGTCTGTAGTGGTGGGGGCTATAGGAGAGATGCAGGGTCTGTAGTTGTGGGGGCTATAGTGGTGGGGGCTATAAGAGAGATGCAGGGACTGTAGTGGTGGGGGCTATTGTGGTGGGGGCTATAGGAGAGATGCAGGGTCTGTAGTGGTGGGGGCTATTGTGGTGGGGGCTATAGGAGAGATGCAGGGACTGTAGTGGTGGGGGCTATTGTGGTGGGGGCTATAGGAGAGATGTAGGGTCTGTAGTGGTGGGGGCTATAGGAGAGATGCAGGATCTGTAGTGATGGGGGCTATAGGAGAGATGTAGGGTCTGTAGTGGTGGGGGCTATTGTGGTGGGGGCTATAAGAGAGATGCAGGGACTGTAGTGGTGGGGGGTATAGGAGAGATGCAGGGTTTGTAGTGGTGGGGGCTATTGTGGTGGGGGCTATAGGAGAGATGCAGCGGCTGTAGTGGTGGGGGCTATAGGAGAGATGCAGGGACTGTAGTGGTTGGGGCTATAGGAGAGATGCAGGGGCTGTAGTGGTGGGGGCTATAGGAGAGATGCAGGGACTGTAGTGGTGGGGGCTATAGGAGAGATGCAGGGACAGTAGTGGTGGGGGCTATAGCAGAGATGCAGGGTCTGTAGTGGTGGGGGCTATTGTGGTGGGGGCTATAGGAGAGATGCAGGGGCTGTAGTGGTGGGGGCTATATGAGAGATGCAGGGACTGTAGTGGTGGGAGCTATAGGATATATGCTAGAGATGCAGGGACTGTAGTGGTGGGGCTTAAGGCGAGATTCTGGGACTGTAATAGCGCTTATTAGTTCACCTGGTTGATGTGAACAAACAAATCAATACGACATGTAACAACCACTAATGCGCTATGTTGTCGGAAAATACACAAAGTCCAAGCAATCCAAGCAAGATCATTTGATAAAATTAATTCACCGGAATAGAGTGTAAAAACAATCCGCTACAGCAGATGTCGCGGCGCGATGACATCGAGGAACGAATATTTATAGGGACGGTTGATTCAGGCTTGGCTGACACAATCGTGACGTTGCAATAATTAGTAACGTGCGTTATGAAATATTTATAAAAACATTATTAAAATGTTTTGTCCAATGCAACTCATCCTCGACTATACAGGGTAAAGATAATATTGGGGAGAATTCTTCGGTGTGTATTAGAGTCACGGTGTTTAATAGAGGACATACGGTACATCACATCGGAAACGATGCTGCTCACGTTTTTATGTATTGTCAACTAAAACATGGTACAAAGCCAATAAAGAACTTTCACCAAAGTTACATGTAATTGAATAAAATGTATTTACAATATTTTAGACCGTAAAGTATGTCAGGTGAGGTAAGGAGGCTAATAGAGGCTTAACGTAGCATTCCTGATTATTGCACTCGTGCATGGACGTTAGTGAGTGGCTGCTTTTGTAGTGCTAGCCCGTGCAGCACATCAACACGATACCCCCACCCAGACACATTTTACGTCTTTTGGTATTTCGCTGTCAGGGGATTAAACGACCTTCCTCGAATGTTCTGTTTGAATCATCGATTCACTAAAGAAAAATTCATATATACCAATGTTGAAAATATATAAGTTCAGATTTGTGTAAATGGAACTGTAAAAGAATGTGATTAAGTGACAATACACCTCTTTGAAATCTTGGGTTTGTGAACTTTGTCTATTGTTATATAATTTCATACTTTAAAGTTTACACTGTTTCTTTCATGCTGTTTGGCGGAAGGGGTAGTCACGTGATCTGATATTTGGAGTTCACACACCTGTGAACGGACAGAAAAGTTCACACGGTGTGAATAAATTTTTGTGTGAAATTGATCGTGTGAACTTTTGCCGGAACTACTTTCCGGGGTTTCCCCGAATTCTTGATCGGTGTTTACGATCAACTCATTTTTCTATTTTCTTTTCAATCCCTACATTTATCAGCAAAATAATTAATTTAGTATTTTTGCCTGTTCTGGTAACGTTTCATCTGACTTATAAATAAATGCTTGGTTCTGGTGTTTGATGTCGTCTAGCTGCTACATGAAACAAAATGGATTGTCCTTACGGTGATTTGGATATGGAATGGCTATCTATCAATACTAATAACGCAAGTGAAGAAAATGATTTCTGTAAAATTACTGAGGTGAACGACATTGATTTATTGAGCGATATTGACATTCATGCCTTGTTTTCGGAAATGACAGGAATCTAGCACCAAGACAATTGCGAATGAAACAATGTTGTAGACTAGATCTACCCTGCTTAGATATGGCCGCCGTCACAGATCAAAGCGACGGCCCCTGATCAATCCCAAACTAAAACCCGATTCACTATCTTATCGGAAAAAGCTCGGAGGTTCACACAGTTTAACCAGCTCTTTTGAATCGTTCACACTTCAATGAACCCATCCAAACTGACGTTCAATTCTTATATAATAACACGTCACAGCGGCGATAAACCCAACTCATTCACTCACTCTAATAACACGTTGATCTCATCAAGTGACAACAGGGGTATTTTCGGTAATACCGTTCAACTGAAGGATAGATGCAAATTATCCTACTAGTAGTAATACGTATGTAATATGTAACTTAACCAGCATGTGTGCTAGTGTCAGACCTCCACTCCATCAGTGACGCAACAGTCTACAATAGTCCAACTAGGTAATGAAGTATGTGTCTCAGACACCAGCGGGAGACGATGGATCAACGGCCCACGCCAATTCACACGACACACAATCAGCCAGTGCCGGTTTCTCTAGCACGACCGTAGCTGATGGTACCGCGCTATGCTTAGCTAAAACTTGGATATAAAGTGGGCACTGAAGCAGCTAGTCTCGTGGTTAAAACGCTGACCCGTCACTAGGATTCCAATGCATGTACAATGTGGAAATCATAATAAGGAGTCCCCTGTCGAATATTGCGGATATGTTGGTAAAAGCGGCGTTAAAACATATTCACTCACTGCGGGAGTAACGACAGGCGACCGCTTTGTAAAACGGGGCCCGAGTCAATCATTGGCACCATCTGACCCTTATTGAGGGCTCTTTCGGTTTTTGTTTGGTTTGTTGTTTTACGCCGCACTCAGCAATATTCCAGCTATATGACGTCTGTCTGTATATAATCAAACAAACAAAGCTACACTCGTGTCGAGCGAGTGAGTATGTATGCTTTTACGCCGCTCGTAACAACATCCGAGGTATATCACGGCGGAATTGTGTTTGACACAGTGCAGCCATTTGGAGAATCGAAACTGGGTCTTCGGCGTGACCAGCCAACACTTTGACCACTAGGCTACCCTAGCGACCCTTACTCGTGTAGAGTGCAATACAACAGTGGAACCTGAAATGTATTTAAATGTTATAACATGCAAATATCTGCGCATCACAGATTCAAGATTTCTCTGATTGTCTGAAATAATGGTTAACGAGAACGTTCTATACCGCAGCCAATGAGATTGTGTCCTTTCTGTCAAACGTGTATAGATGATGAATTTTATATACTGTTTGCTTGTACTGTTTATAGTGATTTAAGGGAAGCATGTATCCTACAGAAATACCTGCGTTTACCAAATTTGTATTCATGTAAATCTCAGTTGAACTCTAAGAATAAACAAGAATTTTATGGTATCGTGAGGTCACTTCGTAAAGAAATTGTGTTCACCCACTTTGTAACTGTTACATTATCTGCACAGATGTATTGTGTGCAGCACATCTCTAAAGCTTGGTTGTACTCACTGATATCATCTCTTTGTACCTTTGTTTTGTATAAGGGCCGGATACCTTCAGTACAATAAACCATCTTCATCTTGATCTTGAACTGTTATTTCCATAGAATTGAATAATCTTAAACTATTAATTTTTTCTTGTTCCTTTTTTCTTTATTTTGGCCCTTTAAAACATCATCTATTCCTAATGTCATCGATTTAATCTGGCATCGTTTAAAAACTGGAACGATCAGTGAAGTGTAGTGTTACCTTAATCAAAATTGTCGGTCATTATGGCCGTTGTTCTGAATCATGTGCCTATTAAAATCTACCACCATTCTCAGGTGTGGACGTTTTCACTTATCTCCACTCAGACTAATCAGTGTAACTGGATCAAATTAAAGGTTGCCCTGTTGGGGCCCACTAGATCGAGTCCACCAGGACTTGACATTAGAACTTAAAAGCCTGAACAAAAATACGGATAACCGGTTAATCAGATTAGCAAATGATTAGAATGGGAACTCCTTCACTTCTTGCTATCTTGGTGTCTGTGTCAGCTATCCCCTCATCATCCTTGTCTGGCAATACCCATGCTCGGATTCAGGGGGAAATACCTCTTGCTTCCCGAAAGAGCCGACCCGTGAAGATCCGGGGGAGAATCGGTCTTCAGCAACCCATGCTTGTCGTAAAAGGCGACTATGCTTGTCGTAAGAGGCGACTAACGGGATCGGGTAGTGAGGCTCGCTAACTTGGTTGAAGCACGTCATCGATCCCAATCGCGTGGATCGATGCTCATTATGCCAATTACTGTATTGTCTGGTCCAGACTCGATTATTTACAGACCGCCTTCATATAACTGGAATATTGCTGAGTGCGGCGTAAAACAACAAACCAAACAAAAACCGAAAGAGCCCTCAATAAGGGTCAGATGGTGCCAATGATTGACTCCGGCCCCGTTTTACAAAGCGGTCGCCTGTCGTTTCTCCCACAGTAATAACAAACAAACAAACAAACAAATAAACAAACAAACAAACAAACATTCAGGCGTGCTGTCAATTTTGCATCAGCTGCACAGGTGTAAAGTGTTTGGTAACCCGTGCTCTGTGAATTTCAGGCAGCGAAATAACGTTCCGGGCATACGGCGTGTGCTGCATCGTCATTCTGGTGGTCTACCTCGGCGTCAACTACTTCCTCGAGGACCGGGGCTTCTTCTCCCACGGGGGCAGCAACAAGATGACACACCAGATCCTGGAGGAGAACACCCATCTTGCACCACATGGAGTGCCTTCCGGTATAGCACGTGACCTGTCCAGCAGTAAGCTCGATCAAGAATCCCTGAATACAGGTACAACATTGTGTTATTCCTTAGGTGAAATAAGGGATAACTGTGTGTGTGTGTGTGTGTGTGTGTGTGTGTGTGTGTGTGTGTGTGTGTGTGTGTGTGTGTGTGTGTGTGTGTCTCTCTCTCTCTCTCTCTCTCTCTCGCTCTCTCTCAGGGGCGGTCTGGTAGCCTGGTGAGTAAGCGTGCACTCGTCACGCCAAAGACCCGGGTTCGATTCCCTACATGGGTACAATGTGTGAATCCCATATCTGGTGTCCACCGCCGTGATACTGCTGGAATAGTGCTTAAAGCGGCGTAAAACCATACTCACTCTCTCTCTCTCTCAGGGGCGGTCGGGTAGCCTGGTGAGTAGACCCTTGATTTTTATGTTTGACTACCAAATGGGAGACAAATTTCCATTGTGGTTTTCAGATAGCCTGATGTCCAAACTACATGAAATCACATGATGGACATCCCACATATCCAGCTAAATGTCATTTTGGCCGCCACTATTTAAGATGGCCGCCATTTTTTCCAATTTGCTCCAAATTTCAGAAATAAGCATGAAAAACAGAATTTACAATCCCTAGACAACTTTTGTGAAATGAAATGTGTCAGGCACTAAATTCCACACATTTTGATATACAATTTGTATGGTTTGGTGTAATAAATGTTTCTCTGTTATCAAATTATATTCTGTGAAAGACTTTAAACACTTAAGATTCTTGGAAATTTAGCTAGGAAATATAAAAACAAGTTTTGGTTGCAATATGTACGATTTTCTTAATTTTTGAATTATCTGTGAAAAAGTGCACTATATTGAAAAATGGCTGATTATGTTTATGCACTATCGTGTTTTAACTTCCAAATGGTATTTTATATATGAAAATACATGAGACAATTTTATCTATCACAAGGTGTGAACTATTACTCAACAACGTTTCATTGGAAAGAAAAGATGTCAGTAAAATGTTAAAAAAGGGTTATTTCTTTATATAATTTCAACATTAACTCGGGGCGGTCGGGTAGCCTAGTGGTTAAAGCGTTCGCTCGTCACGCCGAAGACCCGGGTTCGATTCCCGACATGGGTACAATGTGTGAAGCCCATTTCTGGTGTCCCCTGCCGTGATATTGCTGGAATATTGCTAAAAGCGGCGTAAAACCATACTCACTCACTCACTCAACATTAACTCAGCAATTATAACTCAATGATATACAAAAAGCATAATAGAATGTGTGCAATGTAGTGCTGAAACAATATCAGTAAATAAAAGTTGTCTGAAATTAATATATTCTGTGTTATAAGCTTATTTCTGAAATCTTTAGAAAAAGTGAAAAAATGGCCGCCATCTTGTAAGATGGCCGCCAAAATCGTATTAAGCTCGGCATCTGAAATGTCCATTACATGAAATTATACAGTTGAGACATCAAGCTAGCTGAAAATCATATTGGTAATTTGTCCCTCTGTTTGGTAGTCAAATTTTCTCTGGCTCATGGAATGCCGAGCGCCAGGCAAGATAACAAGTACCATGGTTTAACGTTCTTTTGGTATGATGCGGCCGGGCATCGAACCCAGACCTTCCGTTCTCCGGGAGTCAAACCTCCAGACTGCAGCGATTCACCGAGCACGATGGGGATGCAGAGTTTGTCTAAAATATGCTGCCATACGGACCAGTGTCTTTGCTGTTTAACGCCGCATTCAGCAATATTGCAGCTATATGAGTCTGTAAATAATCTAGTCCGCAATGTTAGCTTTCCTCCCACTTTTAACGGACCTGCCGAAAACGAAATAACTCATTTCATTAAGATCCGGGAAAAGATATTTTACAATAACGACGAGGAAAATCAAATTTGAAAATTGCACTTTTGTTCATTCCCGTTTTATCATCTTATTAAAATTTAATCCTGATCTGTTGTTTCGAATTTATGACTTGAACATCCTATTGTTAACACGTGACACTGTGTGAGGTGTATTGGTAGCCCACATCATTCCTGACAACCCGAGTCATTCCGGGACTACCTTGCAGGTTACGGAAATGGTCGAGTAGTGACGAATGAGCCCACGATGTCATCACTGCATTGTGGCTTCCTACGAATCATAATGAAGATTTTACGTACACTTTGGTCAACTCAGATCCTCGTTTGCCCCAATTATCACAACGACAGCTGGTGGACTATGTTGATAAACATTGATGAATATATACTGTAATTTGCTGTACATAGGTGTCGTTTCATAGTACGATGTCAATTCATGCTCTGTGTTCTGTTTTCTGTAGAATACGGCGCGACTACGTACGAAGGCGTGAACACGTTGCCCGTGAAGAGCCCAGGTACTGTGCCCCGAGGTTAGTTGATGACAACGCCTCCATTACCAACGGTTGTTGACTAACCTTGTTTGTTTGATTGTTTGTTGTTTAACGCCGCACCCCAGTAAATAAACGAGTCTGGAACCAGACAATCCAGTGAATGACATCATGAGCTTCGATCTAAGAAATTGGGATGCAATGACATGCATCAAGCAACCTGCCCACCTGTTCCTGTTCGTCGCCTCTTACGACAAGCCTGGGTTTCTGAAGCCCACGGGTACTTGACTAATTTGATGCATTTATGCATGTACACTTCTTAATGGAATTTTTCGAAAGAAGAAGCCATCGCCGACTTTTTTCTTTGGTAGTTTGACTGATTATATGCATGTAGTCGGTTTGTTGGGTGTAACTGTGATTTGCTGAAGCGGACGTAAAATATATTGGAAAAGGATATTTCACAGACTCTCCCGTTTGATTTCAGGTTTCGCGAATGGGAACTACCGTGGCTTTGACGACGGAGCTTTTACTCAGGTATTTTCAGACCATCTTACATACGTTATATAACACAAGTAATCTGTTATATATCATTCCTGATCTTCCAATTTTCACTCTGGTAATATTTTATACATGAGAGCCTCCGTTGTCTAGTGGTAGAGCGTCCGCCCGGAGAGCGGAAGGTTGGGGGTTGGGATCCCTGGCCACTTCACACCAAAAGACGCCAAAAGAGGGCACTGGTTGTTACCCTGCTTCGCGCTCAGCATTAAGGGGCTAAGACAAGGACTGGTTGGCTCGGAGTCAGTATACTGTGTCTGAGTAGGGTATTCGCGACATGGTATCTCAGTGGGCAAGCACTATAAAATCAGCATTAGTCCGGACTAGTACAAGCAGCCACACACACGTTCATGCACGTCGCTATTAGTTATCTATCTAAAGGTAACGAAATATGTTATACTGCTATAAAACTCAAAGGACTATTGGTAATAGTATTTATATCAATTCTTAACTTGAAATGAAGCTAAAAATATGACAGCTCCACGGCAATATATAGTATTATTCATATGACATTGTCTCCAAGCAACGGTTACATTCAATCCCCACTGGGGCACGGGTGGCCCAGTCGTCTAAGGCGCCGCGATTCGCTGTGCAGAGTTGTGTCCCTTGGACACGCCAGAAACCTATGTTAGTGGGTTCGAATCCTGGTTCGCCCCGATTATGTTTCTAGGTTTGTCAGCACCATACCCGTGCTCGTGGGTTTCACCTTAGTGGTAAACCTGCATCATTTCGGGCTTTCCTCCCACATTAAGCTGACACGCCGCGATATAACTGGAATACTGTTAAAAGCGGCGTTAAACCCAACTCACTCACTCACTCAATCCCCACTTTAATGTAATAGATTATTCTTATCAAAGTTTAGCAGCGTATTATATATAGTCTGTTGCGTATGATACTGATCATACTTTAAGTCTATACAATGAGTTGCTTGAGTTGTCCATGCGTGCCCTTGTGTATTTCTAAATGCATTTTGTATTGTATTGTATAGGGCTATCAACAAGGGGGACAGGACAGCCTGCTGATGCAAGAGCCGCCCAACATCCCCACCCAGATCTATCAACAACAACCCTACAACACATACGACCAGGGTTACGGGCCCTGAACAGGGGGCATAACTCTAGCCAGCCCTTGAACTGCATATTCCTACCAGCTCAGTCGTGTACTGTAGTTAGTTCAACAAGATATCGAATTGCATCACGCAGAAAAGCAGCATTAATATAGATACTGTGTGTAGTTAGATACCCACTCGTCGGAATCGAATTAACGATTTCACATAGACGTCTAGCAGATCTTTCCGCTGTTATCGTAGTATTTTAAGTGACACGTGGGAAGACTAAACCAGGGACCTTATAACGAAAGACAGTTGTGACGTCATCATCAGCTGACGTCATCTTACGACATTCTCGAGTGTGGCTACACAAAACGGTGAACACAGATCGGTTGACATGGTAACCACGGATCGGTCGATGTGGTTCTGGGGTTCGATTGATGAAGTTACCACTGATTAGTTGATAAGCTAATCATCGGAGGATGACAAGCAACAACGGATGGGTTGACAAGGTAACCAGAGTCCGGTTGACAAAGAAGCCACGGACCGGTTGACAAGGGTACCACAGATAAAGCAACAGTATAACGCTGTATCAGATAACAATGGATTGAGTTGTGATGGATCCGTTCACAAGGTAACCTTGTATACGGTTGACACGGTAACTCTCAATCTCCAAAAGCCCGTAAGAAGGACCATATTACACAATGTCAAAATTAGTGTATAAATCAATATATCAACTGTATTGATCTTGAAGTGGTATTTCGAAGGTGTATCATCTGTATTGATCTTGAAGTGGTATTATGAAGATGTATCAAATGTATTGATCTTGAAGCGGTATTTTGAAGGTGTATCATCTGTATTGATCTTGAAGTTGGATTATGAAGATGTATCAAATGTATTGATCTTGGAGCGGTATTTTGAAGGTGTATCATCTGTATTGATCTTGAAGTGGTATTATGAAGATGTATCAAATGTATTGATCTTGGAGCGGTATTTTGAAGGTGTATCAACTCGTTCATACTATCTCTGGTGTGAAGCCGTCATGACGTGTAGCAAGAGATTCTCAAGATACCACAGACCAACACAGTATGTGATGCAAAGCCACGTCACTTATCAAATGTAGTTACATATCATGCCTATCGCAACCATGTTTCTAGTTTATTTAGTGCAAAGGGAACATGTAAGGAAATTATATCTATAATTATAAGTCTTCAGCGGGGGCTGTGCACGTGGGATGTCATGTCCAGAGGACGGCAGTGTCTGCACATGCATGGCCATATTCTGTTGCTGTTGGTGTCTGGAGTGACCGTTGCCTGCAGTGGATAGCGACCTCAGCCAAAGCCAACGAACTGTAGATACGGCGAAGTCTATGCACATCCATTTAGCTCGCATCATGAATGTAGATAGAGTACATTTTGAAATGAAATGTGTGTTGTTTAGGTACAATAGAACAGTATGCAATTTGGATTTCTAAGTCCCTTGTCAATCATGTAATCAGTACAGTTGAACATTCTTCTCACTATGTATATCCTAATGTGAATCAAAACACATACACATATGATTAACGCTGACGAATACTATATCAATTGTAGAAAGCCTGTCGTTAATTTATCAACATGGTTTGAAATTTGAGTTTTCGAAAAATATATTTTTCGTCATTCTTTCCTTAGTACCCATGAATATGACGAGGAAGTATGTAAATACCTTTGACCTAGACCGACCACAGCGCGGTGCGTTTCTGGACAAATTGGTTTCCAGAATTAAAACGGGACGTGTTTCATGCATTTGTTCTGTTAAACATTCACATATTTAATGACCCCAACATTGGAAGAGTACGAGCGTGCGTCCCTGTCTCTCTTACCAGTGTCTGGTGGAAAGACGCCGAACGATGTGTTGGACACTGTCACTGTGACACACAGAGAACACTCGCTACGTACAGGGCATACAGTGTGGCACGTACAGGGCGTACAGTGTAGCACGGCGTCAGGATGTGTAGAGTACACAAGTGGATCACATTTATGTCCTACTTGATAATGTTGACGAAACATCTGAGACTGCCACCAATTAATAATCCAGTTTTCAATTGATATCACAGTGATTTCCACGATGAACCCAAATTCAGTATGCCAGGCTAAGGCTCGGTTATTGGACTCGCTGTACAAATAGAATCCAATTTGTTCCTATACATGTTGGAAAAGAATTTTTCAAGGTTTGGCCCAGAAAAAAAGGCGTTCTCTGGACGTCTTGAAAAGTAATATTTTGTAGGACCAAATTGACATTGTTTGACTCCTCCTTCCAAAGATGTTCACAACAAAACCAAACCAAAACCAAACCAAAACCGAAACCAAAACAAACAAATAAACAAAAACTAACAACAGCACCTCCCAACCCTTTTCTCCCGAATATCAAACCGCCGGTCCTTAAGTCGATAATCTGGTACCGCCATAGACCTCGACACAGCATGGATCTCGGTTGCCCGTATTGGCTGCATGTAGATATCGCAATTATATCGCTTATATCGATTCACTTGTCACGGGCGATGTATGATTATGATTATGTTTGTTTTTGTTCATGGCGCCCGGATGTCACATACTAGCAGGACATTCTGTGATGCAGTGTGGCAGTGTCTTTTTATAATACCAATTTGTATAGTTATGGTTTTGATAGTTGACATAAATGTCTCTCTTAGCAATATGCGCACTGGATTGTGCGCCCCTCAGTGTACGTAGCAATAGAATCAGTAAATGTAGTCAATGTTTGTGTACGTTGTTTTAGCGGCCTCGCCGCGAATAGCTGCAAAATTGCTGATGCGGCGTTAAGCAATATTCACTCACTCACTCACTCACTGTTTTAGCGGCCATCAAAGGGGGAGTAACTCTAATACAACTGCGTACAGCGGACACTTTAAACTGCGCCACTTCAACCGACACCTCAGATACGTATGGGTGGAAGTCGGCTTCTGTTTTTCATCTTTTCCTAAACACACCGCTCATCACACCACGACGTAATAAGACCAACGTAAGCGTTTTTTTCACGTTTATATTCATGAACAGTACTTGAATGATAAGTTTTGATTTAAAGTTCAATGTAGATTATGCGATTTACCACTTTCATAATATGAATCAAACACCACTGTCTTCAGCAACTCATGCTTGCCGTATGAGGCGACAAACGGGATCGATTGTTCAGGCCTGCCGACTTGGTTGATGCATGTCATCGTATTCTAATTGTGTAGATCGATGCTCATGATGTCAATCTCTGTAATATTTACACACCGCCGTCATATAGCTCGAATATTGCTGAGTGCGGCGTTAAACAACAAACAAACAAAACATGACGGAACTGATGGCAATTGAGCTTTGATAGTCTCAGTAGATGCATGTATAGTGCTGACGTATACCGGCTTCCTCTGTTGTGTTAATATAATATAAAGTTTAAAGGGGTCAGGGGTGACCAAGTCGACGTGAGCGCTGCAGTACTATGTGCAAAGTTGCGTCCCTTTGGCATCCTATGATCTCTGCTTGTGACTCCTGGTTTGTCAGCACCATGCCCACCCTATTGAGCTCCACCAAAGAGTTGAACGTCTACATCCCCTCCCCTCCTTTAGCAGACCCGTAGTGATACAAGTCTAAAAATGTTTGGCGTAAAACCCAAGTCACTACAGGTTTTCGTAAGCCTATTTATAACATATTTATATACACGCACGCATGTAATCAGGTGGCATATGTCAGAGATTTAATTGTCACGGTCAATAGGATTTGCTGATATATGTGGTATCATTTATAATATTTCCATTCTGTATAGACGTTGTGATACCCGTGTAATATAGACGATATGTCAGACAGATGTCATATGGCTCCCCGCCCCTGTGTAATATAAATAATGTTGCAAAATATTCACAAAATAAACTCGGCTCTCGATGAAGAGATACGTGATTCCTCTTCTGTCAGTAGTGAGAAAGACTAACGGATGTACGTGTTTTGTGATATGATTCTTATTGTGACGAGAGTGCTAGGATATTTGTTATGTTTTAACAGTTATCACCTAAACGTGTTATCATTGTGCGATATGATATGACGCATCGTGACGCTTGATGTACGTCATACGTGACGTCATACAATCGCTGTAACTTCACACGTACTCATGTGATATTATTGTTATCATTATAGTTTAATGGTTCTGAAACTTGTTATATTTAGAGTTATCATGTATAGCCTGTCAAATCAAAATGAATTAAATATGATTCAAACACGGAATATATTCTTTTTTTAAATCACATCACCATTTGTACCAAAGGATCATATCTTCTTTAAATGGCATTTAGAAGTTGGTGTGATGAACAATGACAAGTTCTTGAGGATCAACAGCTTCTTCATAATACTTGGAGGCGGTGGTTAAAGCGTTCGCTTGTCACGCCGAAGACCCGGGTTCGATTCCGATATGGGTACAAAGTGTGAAGCCCATTGCTTGTGTCCTCCGCCGTGATATTGCTGGAATATAGCTAAAAGTGGCGTAAAACCAACTCACGCACTCATGATACTCGGAGCGACGTTTAAATGCAGATTTTTTACCTTTAACAAACAAGTGTGCATAAAGCTGGTTGCTGTTAATCAATCTTATCAACTGAAAAACACCAACCACTGTTGCATTACACCGTGAATAAATATCAATGACTCTTTGTATTTCAACCTTATCTGTTGTATAAACATCAGCCAGCCATATGTATATAACCCACAACTCACCTTGCTGTACATCACATGCTTGATAAAGTTATAAAATCTACACTGAAACGTCGGCTTAATTGTTATAAAGAATGTGTTTATTCATAACTTGTCATTGTTTAATGGACCATTCATACCCTGCAAGGGCGCTGGACTTGTGTTTTTCATTTAGCAAGGTTAAGGGTCAAATTTAACTTCACTGGCGCTGGTTTTATTGGTTTAAAATACAATGGCACTGGCACTAAATATATAAAAGATATTAGGAAAAGTGTTATCAGAGTTGACGAGAAGAGAACCACTGGGAAGAAATGAAGTAAAGTTAATCACCATAGAGTTCGAGATATTTAAAGATAAATCCGTTAGCCAATGAATAAAGCTAATTGTTTTGATGACTAAAATATACCTTCGAAGTTAAAACAAAATACCAAAACAATTACACTAATTTGAAGTTTACAATAATAAGACCTGAGAAATAAGTCGAAATAGGGAATTGCATCGGACATATTTTTTTGTCACGGATGGTCAAATTTGGAAATGTCCTCCACGTGTCTACCATGAAAGCTTTTCTAATGCCTTGAATGTTGTAACCTCGATCGAACAACTTCTCAGCAATAGTTGTATGACGCTCTTTGAAATCTTGGTAGAGACTCGATTGTTGTGAAATGTAGACACCAAGGGCTGGAGCTGCAGCACTATTGCTCGACACAAAGAGAAAACTGACTTTTGGAAAGTTGAGGTTATCCGTCTTGTCTTACAGTCTTGTGTTTTGTCACTCTCAATCTTTATGCATATATCTAAATATGAAACTGACGAAGCGGCCTCACTCCTTTAATTTATTTCTAGTTCAGGTTGGGAACTCAGTGCAAGGGAATTAGCTATTTGATGGTTATTGAACGATATCAGATCATCGATATACCTGAAGCTTAAGTTAAACTTCTTGGCCAAATTACCTTGTTTTGAGTTTGACACTCCGGGCAGAAATTGTGATTCATATGCAAAAAGAAACAGAGCAGCCAGAAGGCGAGCACAATTGATGCCCATTGGGGTGCCTGCTTCTTGCCTAAATGTCTTACCCCCAAAGTGTACATAGATGAGTGAGTGAGTTAAAATTTAACGTCACATCGGCAGTATTTCAGCCATATAGTGACGACTGTACATAGATGATCAATGAGGAAGTCCAGCATTACACATATTGTTTTCTCAGTAAACTTCAGATGGCATTTACTTTCATGTTTGACAAATTGACCTGAACCTCTAAAGATAGATACGTAACTATATCGATGGTTACCACCTTTTGTAACAAAAGCCCTATGGATCAAGGAATGAAGTGAAATAGTAGTGTACAAAGTTGAAAAGTCAGATATTTTGACAGAATTGAACTTGGTTACTTTATGGGATTGTAAAAAGTCAAACAAATCCTTTGAGTTGTGGAGAATCCACACGGTATTAATTCCACTTATCTCAAATTCTTTCTGTGAATACAAAGAAAGTACTTGCTTGATTATACTAAGGATTATTGTTAATCTTTGAGACAGTGATTTGTGATACATTTGCTGGGCCCAGCAAAATTTGTCTCTTTGTATCGATTTTTATGGAGCTTTGGAATCCAATACAAAAAAGAATGGACATGTCTTCCGTTTTTTTTATAGTCAAGTCAAAAGTTGATAGTAGTGATGCAAGGTTTGAGCGGATGTCGTCCTCAGCTAACATACTGGCCTTATATGTGGGATTATTTTGATCAAACAATTAATGTAGTGATGCTTACATGTAATGGCTATGTTGTTTAAGGCCAAAACATCAATCAGAGTACATTTTGTACTTTTGCATTATTTAGGATGGAAATGAATGAAATATCCAGAGTATTGTCACGACAAGGTTTATGCACATAATCTCCAGGGTAACATAATGATGGCTATGAAGAACACGATCTTAAGGTCTTCTTTTGTAGATGACTTTGCTGAAAACAATCAGAAGGTGTAATTGTAATAACCTGAAATATATTCCTTCAGCTGTTCGTTAGATTAACAGTTAACATGAACCCAGCCTTGTAAAACACGGTGTTGAAATTAACTACCTTCCGTAACACAGCTAACAAACAGAGGGGCAATTTTTGATGGCGGCTAAAATGAAACAAACAAGAAACGGTTATTGGATGGTGGTGTATTCGATAGGTGATCACAGTTGTGTTTTGGACCATCAGTTTGCAGTGTTTTAGCGTCTGTTTGCAGCCTAGTAACGTGTTGATAACGTTTGTAATTTTTGGGTCGAATTAATAAGTGTATACTTTCTTTTTCCTGGCAATCTATATCCCTCAAGAAAATGTCACAATTAAATATTTGACTTGGGTATTTCACTGATTGTTGTGATCTATATAAAGTCACATACGGTAAAATCTTCCATCTTTCTTAATGGGAAACAAGATACAAATCGCACACTGACCATTTATTAAGTCAACCATCACGATTCTGTAATAAAACTGATTAAGATTAAATATGTCCACGCACGTAACAAGCTGCGTGTCAAGATAGAATAATTACACGAGTTAAATATAGCAGATAAATTCATCAAATATTGAAACACATGATTATTTAATTTTCAAAATGAACCCCTTTCGG